GGCTAATGGCATATTAGGTGCATTACTAAGAGCATTGCCAGCAGATCCAGAGATGTGATTATTCCCCTTTATTCGGCTTTGGGGAGGCCACATCTGGAGTATTGTGTCCAGTTCTGGGCCCCCCCACTACAAAAAGGATGTGGACGCATTGGAGAGGGGCCAGCGGAGGGCAACCAAAATGATTCGGGGGCTGGAGCATATGACCTACGAGGAGAGGCTGAGGGACTTGGGTCTGTTTAGTCTGCAGAAGTGAAGAGTGAGGGGGGATTTGAGAGCAGCCTGCAACTTCCTGAAGGGAGGTTCCAAAGAGGCTGGAGAGAGGCTGGTCTCAGTAGTGACAGATGGCAGAACAAGGAGCGATGGGCTCAAGTTGTGGTGGGAGAGGTCCAGGTTGGATATTAGGAAAAACTATTTCCCTAGGAGGGTGGTGAAGCACTGGGCTGGGTTCCCTAGGGAAGTAGTGGAGTCTCCATCCCGAGAGGTGTTTAAGTCTCAGCTTGACAAAGCCCTGGCCGGGTTGATTTAGTTGGGATTGGTCCTGCCTTGGGCAGGGGGCTGGACTTGACCTTCTGAGGTCTCTTCCAGCTCTATGGTTCTATGATTCTATGATCCACACAGCGGCATGCGGGTTTCCCCCCATTACCTCCCCTCCTCCAATACCGTGTGCCTCATACCACACCTGTCCGTCCCCCCCATGCAGTGGGGCAGTGCAGTCTCCAGCCCCCACCTCAAGAAATCAGAGAAGGAGCAGTGTCGGTGGTGACAGAGGTGCTCGTGCTGTGGACGCCAAAAGGAGGCTCATTCACCGAGCAGCTGTCGGATGGTGATGCCTTTTTGTCTCCGTAAGCCAGACGAGGGTCAAGTAAGGGACCTAGGGACTGAAGAGCCCTTGGCTGTTTACCAGAAAAGCTTAGGTTTGGGTCTAGCAGCTCTGACCCGAAGTAGTAAACTGTGTATTTTGCAGCATGCTACTCGAGTCTGGCTCTGGGGTTACCGTCACTCTCCCAGGGTTGCCGTGGTTCCAAGCGTCCGGTGACAGGACGAAAGATCCGGCTCTGCTGCCTTTCCCTGGAGAGCAGGAGTTGGCGTTTTTCCCCTGCCAGGTGCCAGGTTGCTGGAAGTGCCAAGTGGCACAGCTGGCGTCTGGTATCCTCTGCAGCTGTCGTGTCAAAGGCTGAGCTGGCCGCCAACCCACAGTTATCCCAGCTGAGCTGGCTGCTGTTGCTGCTAGACATACAGGGCTGGTGGGCAGCAGCTCGCTACTGACCAGCTCAGGCTGTCTTCAGGAGCAAGCCATTTAGTACGGCCGGGATAGGTGTGTTGGCCGGAATAGGTGTGTCAGCCAGGAACCCTCCTCCCTTGTCATCTTTGTTTCAGCCCCGCGAAGGCTCCGTACTGGACAGGGACTGTCTCGCAGACTCGGGAAGGTGGGCGTGGTCCCCTGCAGTGCAAGCCCGTGGCGATCTCGGAGATGTTGGAAAGGCGGGCTCAGGAGCAACGCATGACACTTGGGCTGTGTCTACATTGGCATCCCTTTCCGGAAAAGGCATGCTAATGAGACACATCGCAATTGCAAATCCGCGGGGGATTTAAATATCCCCCGCGGCATTTGCATTTACATGGCTGCCGCTTTTTTCCAGCTTGGGGATAAGCCGGAGAAAAGCGCCAGTCTAGACGTGATTCTCCGGAAAAGAAACCCTTTTCCAGAGGATCTTTTATTCCTACAATTGCAGATTTGCAATTGCGATGTGTCTCATTAGCATCCCTTTTCTGGAAAGGGATGCCAGTGTAGACACAGCCTTGGTGTCCAGGCTGTTCCCCACTCTGGCACGCTGAGTGCAGTAGGGGGGAGCCCGCATGAGACCCTAAATACCTGCCTCTAGAGCAGTGGTTCCCAAACTTTTCAGCATCACGTCCCCCTTTTTGATGTTTGAAAAACCCTCATTGGCCCCCCCCCCAAAATAGGAGCAAAGCTTGTTGAGAAAGGGGGGGGGGAAAGGAACTGAGCCGGGCAGCAAAACTTGATGGGGGGTGGGAGGCTGGACTGCCTCACGCCTCCCCCCCCGAATTTCTTCGTGCTCCCTTCCCAGGGGGCATGCCCCCCAGTTTGGGAATCCATGCTCTAGAGACTCTGTTTACAAAAAACTCCCCAGAGTCACAGATGCACTGGCTCTGGAGGTTAAGTTGCCACCATCAACTGATTTTAAAGAGCCCTGAAAAACCAGGAAGGAACCCTTGAATTCCTTCCCCAGGGGTACCCCAAGCTGTTCTGCCACAAGAGAGCTTGAAAAAAGAACCAAAGAAAACACCGCAAACCAACTACATTTTTGCTAGCTGACCTCTCGGGTTAAGCAGGCACCCACGCAGACCTGGTCCCTTCCAGGACACGAGAATCAAAACATCGCCTTAAAAAAGATGATTTTATTAACAAAAAACAAAAAGAGATCCTTAATAAAACATACCTGGTTGCTAGGTGTTACTAAGCAACTGAGAAAAACAAATTAAAACACAGAGAACGTCGTATCTCTGGGTACAGCTTAACTAGAGTGATTGGGGGAGGGGGAGAGCTTGTGGATTTTACACAGAGACACTTAACCAAACCACCAGAACAAAGAAAAATACCCTGATCGCGACTAAACGTACCGTCCTCCCTCTACTCACAGCCCGGCTGGTCCGTACCTCGAGGCCCAGTCCACTTCCATGCCCCGAATTCCTTGGAGGCATTGCAGTCCTGATGGTTGCGTGGTGCTCCCTCCAGCCCTTCATATAGAACTCACCCAAAGGAAGAGCAGCCAGCTGTCTCTACACAATTCATATTTCACCCATCTTTCCCATTGGCTTTCTGCCAACACCCCTGCTACCTACCAGAGTTTAACCCTTCGGTCACCAGGGGCTGGCCAGCATTGCTCCTACCCGTCACACCTGGGCTCGCAGGAAACGCAACTCAAGCCGCAAGAGCCTTTTCTGCTTGCTCCGGAGCCCGCTGCCCGCCCGCCCACGCAATAAACAGACTTCTGCAGACTCACGGATCAGCTGGGGGGCACGTCGATGGGGAGACCCCGTCGTGCTCCCGTTCAAAGGGCTCCTCCAGTGATGCCGCAGAGAAACCGTTCATGCTGCTGGGCTGCTCCTGGTTCCACCAGCAGGAAAGGCCAGGCCAGGCATTTCCGATGCACCAGGAGATAAAAGAAAGGTCACAAGGAGTTGAAGGCACAACCGATGGCATGGTGCACGAGCCAGCCCCTCGTGCCAGGTGAGAGGCACCACAGGAGAAATGCGTGCCAAGCCAAGGGAGCTTGCTCTTTGCTGGAGAACAGAGGGCCAACTCAGCTGACCCAGATGGTCTTCAACAGGGAAAGCACCCTATTGCTGAAAGCATGTTGGAGCTTTTCCTCCTTGGGGGACGGTTAAGGAGAATGAACCCTTAATAGTTATAGACAAACTTCTCCCCCAGGACAGAGGGTTGCCTTTGGAGTCAGCATTTTGATTTACAAAGCCTGCAAACAGTGAATCCCCTTTTGCCACCTTTCAATGTCACCGTGAGCCCCTTCCTGTATTTGTGCTTCCATGTCGCGTGGCATGTCAGAGCAGAATGGGGCATCCGTTGTCTAGCCAAGCCTTTGAACGCGTACTGCTGGGTGAAAAGCAGGGACCTGAGCTTTCTGAGGCGCAGGACATCCAACACTTTTAATTCCGTTTACAATTAACCTGTGATGCTGGCTGGCTGCCGCAGCATGTTAGCAAGGCAAATAATTTAGCAAGAGTAAAAACGCTAGGTGGGCTCGGGGGTCCCTTCCGGCCCTTGAATCTGTTAATCTAGGAATGGTCAAAAGTGTGACTGTCTTCAGCCTTCCTGGGTCAGAGAATTTGATCACCGCCGGGAAGTAATTGCCCTGCTGCGAGGTTTTTTTGCAGCTGGCCAGATGCATTAGGGTGGTGTCTTCCTGTCTTTGGAAGAAGCACCCTCTGGCTTCTCTCGGGGTTTGGGTACCAGACTCCTTAGACGAGGGATTCAGTACAGCAGTTCATGAGTATCCATAACGATGCACAAGCACCGGTCCCTTCTAAGCTAGTAGGCGTTGACGTAAGCGGAGATCGTCCTGTCTCTCCCCTCTCTGCTCCTCGTGGAAAGCAGGAGATGCTGCCCATGGAGCGAGACCATCTCAGCTCCCAGTCAGAGAGGACGTGAAAGGGCGTGCTCCCTGCCTCTCTGAGCCTCATCCTGTAGGAAGCTGTAGCAACCATGGCTCTGTGGGGTGGAACTCCGAGGTGGCTCTCGCTACTGATGTATGAATATTTGTTACTGCTCCGGAGAATGCATCTGTTCTTCGTTTGCTTTAGGTGACCCCCGGCTTAGACGGCAAAGAAGGGGAGCTTTTCGTTAAGGGGCCCACGGTATTTCGCGAATACTGGAATAGACCCGAAGAAACAAAAGCTGCTTTCACACCCGACGGCTGGTTCAAAACAGGTACGGTGCTGGGCCCACCGCGGTGTGAATGAATGGCAGCAGGGAGGGGAAGTTGGGTCCTCTTGCTGGCTGGGTCGTGAGAGTGTCTTCAAAGCCACGGACACAGAGGCTCTTTGGTTTCGCTATTCCCCTGCCAGTCAGCACCCCCCACTCTTAGCCACAGAGAGTTGTAGCCTGTTTGCTTGTAAACCTGAGAAGCCGATCCAATATGTATGCGTTGACCGAGGTCTCTCGGAACTGAAACAAGCCCCGCACCTGCACACCTGAAAACCTGTCATTACTTAGCTGTGGTCACGGGACAGAGCCGAAATCCATTGAAAATGGCGCAAAACTCGCCTCAACTTGAGTTGGGGCTAGGCCCTTCATAATTAGAATTTGTTTGCTTTATATCATCAGCCGTGGCAGACCGGCTGGAGTATTGAAAACGGTGGATGTTAACAGTGCATGGTAGAATGAGTAACAACGAAGATGCAGAAAATGCTGTAAAAAGGACTATCGGGCACGGTTCAGGAATATTTTAATGCCCATGGTCAAAGCTTTTGGCACAGGGTCTGTTTCAATACGTTGGTGGACTCAACAAAATTGGAAATTGTGGAAACTTTCTTGATTCGGTTTGTTTTCAAAACAAATCCCAACTTTCTAGCTCAAAACAGAGGTTTCTTTGGAAACTAGCAGATTTGCCTGGCATTGCAGGGGTCCATCAGGGCAGGGGGCTGGCGGTGTGGGGGGTGTAGGACTCAGGGCGGGGTCTTGGGGATGTGGGGGCGGCGAGCAGGGGGATGTAGACATGGGGGATTGCGAGAATGAGAGTTGGAGGATGAGGAGGGGCTCAGGTGGGAGGTCCCATCCAGCAGGGCTTTCTCCCCTCAACCAGCCTTCTGTTTCACCCCCAGCTCTCCCCCTCCCCCGCCCCCTTAGGCACTGCAGAAGGGTGCTGGGGGAAAAGGGTTTAGGGCAAGGGGGCTACTTACCCACTCTGATGATAGTCAGGACTGTGGAGTCCCAGCCTTTGGTGGCTGCCCTATGTGGCCACTCTACAGTATGGCTTCCCCTGCGTACACTGCCCCCAGTGGCCACTCCCCGTATCACAGTCCTCCTCTCTGTGCCCCTCCCTTTCCATGTTATGGAACACAGTCCCATTCCTGGCACTTCCCATTTTCCTGGCATAAAACCAAACTCTGGCCTTGCTTTTTGGCTCATGAAAATTGGTGAGATCTTGACTTTATTTTTTCCTGATTTGGGGCAGGTATTTGAAATCTTGGATGGGAAAACTATTTCACACCTGGCTCACCTGTTCCTTTTGCCAGCTGAAGATACACTGGCTCCGATGATACCAGTATAGTTCGCATGCAAAGACCCCACTCCTGCCAGGGTGATATGCGGTTTCGGAGCGTCCCATCATTTGAGAAAGCGGAAACCGCTGCTCCAAAACAGGCTCTGATCACAGTAATCTGATGAACAAAACCATATGACTCTGGGTCCGGTCCAAACCGCTCATGCCCAGTCTCCCAATCAGGCCTTCTTTGAACTGCTGGTGAATAATTTTCAGTAACAACGTCGAGAGAATGAGATGTTGCTGGCAGTTCCTGAGCAGAAAAGCGTGATTGTCCTCGAATGTGCGCTGCCAGTGGCTCTGTTCACACTGATTTGAATAGCGATGTAAAATCCCGTTTGATTGGTTAACCAGTTAAACATATTGTTTGACTGGTTAACCAATTAAAGGGGAGAGTGGGCGGGGGGGAGGGGGCGCTTCCGACAGGGCTGGAGCAGCCCCACGCCCGCGGCAGGCGGGAGCTGCCCCAGACCCCAAGGGTTAACCTTCCCCAGTACACCAGTTAGCCAGTGAAGCATTCGCATCCCTAGAGTCGAACGCTTGGGATGTGCACAGCCCACGCTCGGAACTCTTGGTCACACCATGCATGGTGCGGAGCTACCCAGTGAACTGTAGGTGCGGTAGGAAAAGAGCCTGGTCCCAAAGTGAGTCTGAGGGCAGCGGTGCCACAGGGCACCCTGTGCCATTGTGGTTTCCGTGTTTCGCCTGCCGAGTGGGATCTCTGTATAGGTGTGTTCCCATAATCTCTGGCAGAGGCAATGTGCCATTTGAATAGTAAACCACGCACCATAAGATTTGTCCTTCCTTTACCCAGCCCAGTGACCGTTACACGTGTGCCTTGCAAACCACCTATGGGGATTGGTTTACATTTCCGTCTACCCAAACCCTAGCAGAGTAGAGCACTGCAAACCAGGAATGTTACATTTCAATGAATCAGGAGCCGATGGAATTTCCATCGACGAGTCGATAAAGGGGGGCTCGCTATCCTCGCTGTGCCTCTGCCTTTTAAGCGTAGTAAGAGCGGCCCCCGGGGCGGGGAACCCAGGGCAAGCGGGGACTCGAGTAGGGGCACTTACTACATTTAACCTGCAGGGCTCTTACTACATTGAAAAGGCAGAGGTGCACTTCTGCCCCACTGCGGAGACAGTAATGGGGGGAACTGGCTTTTAAGCTGGCTCCCACCAGCACCAGCTCCTGCTCTCCCTTCCCCCTTGCTGCGTCTGATAAAGAGGCAGCAAGGGAGCCGGGGGAGGGGGGGAGCGACTAGTCAAGTAGTGACTTGACTACTCGATACGCTGAGGCGTCTCGGATAGTCGACTAGTCGCTTACATCCCCACTGCAAACCTGAAACCCGTTTTGCATCCAGGGACCATTTTGGGGATGGGCTGCAGATATACATTTTGTGTCCACACAGGGCTCAAAACACAACAAGTCCTGGCTTTTCCCTTTCTCACTTCCTGCCTGACACTGGGCTAGATTTCTGGGGCCCTCTCTGTGGCCGCTTGGCTTATTTTGTGCTCCAGAAGAGACGCTTTCCTCACCGAAAACGACTGCTGGTGCAGCGACCCTGCGAGCTCCAGGTGTCATGGCAGCAGCAGGGTTTCTTGACACGGCGTCAGCGGGCCCTGCAGAGTGCAGGGCAATCAGCCTGAGAAACGTTTTTAGTCAACGCTCCTGATGAATATTTCAAATGCAAAAGAATAGCCTGCATTAATTATTGTAAAGAGATGTCTTTAGGAGAAAATGATTCTGAAATTCAGTTTAATTTCATTGTAATGCGCGGCAAACAGGAAGGGAGTATGTGTGTTTAATTGGCTCTCGGGGGTAAGGCCTGGAAGATGCCATGCCTTTGTCACAGGCCATTAGCGATACAGACTGCATAATGAGAGAGTACAATCAACTCACAGCTGCCGACTCCTACGGGGAGAGAATGATATTAAATAGAAATCAGTATAAATTAAACTTAACCCTTTCGCTAGCCAAATTAAGGCCATCAGCCAGGAGGGAAGTGGGAGCTACAGCAGCCGTGGAGTCGGGGGGTCGGGGATGGATCGGTGGGTGCCTGGGAGGTTTTCCCATGCGGAATCCACCGAGTCTGACTTCCTCTTTGATATTGTGGCAACATTGACGGGGGGGAAGGGGAGGAGGAGGATTTTGAGATGATTTGGTTTCCCCCAACCCCATCTCGCTTGCATTTGTTTCTCCAGACCCTTTTCCCTGCCCTTTGCCGCTGTCGTGAGGACAGGCTTTTTCCGGGGCTAATGTGGCTCAGACAAGCAGTGGTGCTCTGCTGGCAGGGAAATCCAGAACCTTCCTAGACCACCATTTCATTCTTCAGTTTCATTCTGAAAGACGCAACGCTCCCAATCCTGGGGCAGAACTATCAGAAGCCAGTGGGGAGAGCCCAGACTTTGGGATGCCGTAGCTAGGTGGCTGTTACCGAGTGCGATTTTAAGAATGAATTGAACTTGTTAACTGGAGTGCATTGACTTTGCAGGAGAGAGCATGCTGCTAGAACTCAAAGGAGGCCAAATAGAGGTACAGTTCAGTGATAGACAGGAGTCCTGCAGAAAGGGATCTTGGGGTCATAGTGGACCTCAAGCTAAGTATGAGTCACTGTTGCCAAAAAAAAAACCAAACCTGATTCTGGAATGTGTTAACAGGAGTGTGTGAGCAAGACATGAGAAGTCGTTCTTCCGCTCTGCTCTGCGTTGGTTAAGCCTCAGCTGGAGTATTGTGTCCAGTTCTGGGCACCACATTTCAAGGATGATGTGGAGAAATTGGAGAAGAGCAACAAAACTGATGAAAGGTCTAGAAAACATGAGCTATGAGGGAGGACTAAAAGACCTGGGCTTGTTTAAAAGCTTCAGAGGGGTAGCCGAGTTTGTTGTTTTTTAAGTTTATCCTGTACAGACTCATTGTCTGGTAGCACTTTACAGACTAACAAAACATGTAGATGGTATCATGAGCTTTCGTGGGCACAGCCCACTTCTTCAGATGTGAAGAAGTGGGCTGGGCTTGTTTAGTTTGGAAAAGAGAAGACCGAGAGGGGACATGATAGCAGGTTTCAAGTATCTAAAAGGGTGTCACAAGGAGGAGGGAGAAACATTGTTCTCCTTGGCCTCTGAGGATAGAACAAGAAGCAATGGGCTTAGATTGCAGCAAGGGAGGTTTATGTTGGACATTAGGAAAAACTTCCTGTCAGGGTGGTTAAATCCTGGACTTAAATTGCCTAGGGAGGTTGTGGAATCTCCATCACTGGAGATATGTAAGAGCAGGTCGGATAGACATCTAGCAGGGATGATCGAGATGATGCTTGGTCCTGCTGAGAGGGTCTCTTCCAGTTCTAGGAGTCTCTGATTCTGTGAGCATTAACAGATAATGCACTGATATTTTAAGAGTGTGCGTGTGTACACTGCTTTGGAATGAGGCAAGCGCTGTCTGATTCTGCAGGTGCTGAACTGTCCTAACATCCCTCTAACGCCGATCGGAGGCCGTTTTAGCATCACATGCCAAAGCCCTACTCTGTGTCACAGCTACGTGCGCAAGGCTAGCCTGGATGAGGGACCAAGGCAGGGCGATCGCAGGCGATTGACAAGGGTTTTCAAGCATCCTCAAGGCCATATGGAAGTTGCGCTCAGCTGGAGTAGAAATGACATGCGAGGAG